TATTATAATATAACATATATTATCTTATGTACATATATTATAATATCAGAAATATAATATCTTTTGGGGTTTCTATACAATAAATATCAATATAAATGCTCAGTGTTCTGAAAGCATGTCTGTCACAATCCCTATCCCTGAGAAGCATATGTCTGAAGTGTTTAAATCTCTCAACACGACTTACCTTAAAGAATGTAAAATCTCGCCAAGATTAAAAAACTTTACTGGTTCCAAAAAATGAATAAGCATCTATTATATATGCCACCGTGAATCGATCATTTTGTAGAATATTTAGAAAGGAAGAAACATTTTAGATTAAAATTGGTGAGACTTCGCGGAACAGCGCTTTTCTATTGAAAAGTTCGCCTGATTGTTCGAAAGACGAATCTTGTCCCTTATTCCCTCTTTGGTATTATTACGAATTAATTATTTTTTGGAACTTTGACAAAAAAATTTTTTCTGACTTTTTATGACAATGCAAAGCTTTTTTTATTGTCTTTCAAGGTTTTTGTATGCATTTGCTTTATATTATATTTTCTTCTTTAAATAACTTTTTTTTTAGAGAAGAAATTTGCTTTTGCACTCAATTTGTTATTTTTAATTAATTTATTCGCAACAAATGCATACAAATACAAACATTATATTTGCTATTCAACCACAGAATGCGCTTTTCCTCTTGCTTTAAGTTTATTCATCGCTGGGCGCTGTGAATGAACGTTTTTTTTTTTTTGAAATAATTGGATTTTCCGTAAAATAGAAAAAATTAAAAAAAAAACCAAGTAAAAAATTGTAAAATCGACTTTTTTGATTTTCATGTTTTTAGAAAATAAATTTCCATGTCTTTATAGGAAAAAAATATGTCATTGTTATCTATCTGTTTTATAATGCAATATATCTTTTACACTTAAGGAAATATAGTTTACAGTTAAGTAAGCTTAAAAACAATTATTATTTTTTGCCAGTTTTTTATGATAAAAATAATATATTCTGTTGACGTTTTAAAATTATATTTTATGATATATTTCTTAACATTTTTTATTTTTATTTTTTCAAATATGTGTCATCAAACACTAATTCTGCTTTAAAATTATTTTCGTTAATTTTAATATTATAATTATGTTACATTATTATATTTATTTTACATTATTATTACCACGAACACGGTTGGGATTTTTTTAACCCCACTAACTCAAAATCATATCAACGTTGTAAAAACAATATTTAGTGGGAACTAGGAATTAGGAATTGATGTACAGGGTGACATATGTTATATTTAAGAAATTATGATATTAATTTTTAACGATTTTGCACAAATTAGTAGAAAACTAATTTTATTGCTCTTCAGTGCTTATGCGTGTAAAGCGGTTCAACTCTTAGTTTTTAATAATTTTTAAGTGAAGAATTCAGTTTTTTTTTTAAAAAAATTTTATATTTTATTCTTTGAATTACTTATTTATTGCGTAGTCGTTTGTTTCTAAACAGTCACATTCTCTGTGGCTGCTCAGCTTTGATCTGGGCCAGGAGGAGGTCACTGGGTCGACAACTACTTTCTCCTTCTGACATTAGGAGGTCCTCAACGGCCGACATTCTGGCTTTCATTCAGAAGACGGAATGTCTTCTGTTTGGTTAGGGTCTGTTGCAGCACAAAAGATCAATCATGGTCACAGTGCTCCGCTAGTATCCCATTTATTGCTAAAAGACATATATCAATTATATTTTTGTTTTGATAAAAAAACTTAAATTTCGTCAATTTTGGCGCAGATAAATTTTCTTAATTATATAATTACCTGGATATGAAAGTACCACTTTCAATATATCTCAATTTGTGTCATTTTGTTGCCTATTTCAACCTATTTAGTTCTTTTCTAGGACTACTCGTATAATTGAGTAATGTCTGTAAGTCAAAAGACCTTCTTTTTCAACTATTAATTTCATTATATGTAATTTAAAAATGAAGAAACATTTTTAAAAGTGGCAATTTCATTTAAAACTGTTTTTCCTTGTGTCTTTCGTGCTTCAGTTTACACTGATTCGCTTTGATTAATTAATTTTGACTATACAGTTTATTACGAGAGGACAGACTCTTTAGCTTCCAATCACTGCAAGGATTTAAATAAATGAATACATAATTATGATAATTAGATTTTTATTTTTAAATATGAGTTTATACTCGTATATACTAAATTGTATACAAACTATTACATTAAGATTAACCTAAAAGCCAAGCCATTACTAGTGATACTTTTTAGTTGTATTTTCGTATAAATTTCATAGTAATTACTAATTGTTTTAGAAACGTAACAAAATTTGATAAATAAATTGTTGTAAGTCAAATTTTTCGATTTAACATTTACTAAGGCGCATTTAAGAACATGTAACTTTATTTTGATTAATGAACATATCAATCACCAATCATTTATGAAATTTAAATTAATTTTCAATGCAAATATTTACAATTAGTTTAAACTAAAAATCATTTTTACGTAAACAAGGAACAAATAAAGTTTAAAAATGTTATGAATTTAATTATTACGATTATAAAATTAATCACTTTTGAAAGGCAAATTATTTTCATTCAATATAAGTAGATTCTTTTTATGGACGTATATTTGAATTAAAACAATAAAAATTCAAAAATCTATCGCTTTTTGTTTGCAGGAATATAATGTTTCTTTCACGATATATATGTAGGGTGATTTTGAAATAGTGAAGCAAACACGAAAAATCACATAAGTAATAATTATTCGTTTATTGTTATCAATACTACAGGTCAAATATGATTGAAACTGTTAATATAATTTTTATTTCATTTTTTTTAAATTATTAAAAACATAATAATTATTTATTATAATAACAAGTAACAAAAATATTATGAGTCAGATTATATGGCAAACTACTAAATCATTATTTTTTCTTTACCAAGAGTTTTTTTTCCGCAGTATTATTATAACCTAACTGGGATTCAGTATGTAAAAAGTGTGTTGTTCAGTAAAGATAACGGATCTAAGAACGGCCGGGTCTACATCCCGGTGCTACTTGTTGAGCTAGCCGACTAAGCGCCGTTCAGCACTCCCAAAAGATATAAAGTTTATAGCACAAAGATATATTAAAAATACAATTTAATTAAGTATATTTTGTATTTTTTAGAGATAAATAAATTTAAAGGAAGTAATATTTAATGAAGAAAGCTCTAGAACCAGCCAAGTCTACTTTGCAAAACTGATCTTCTTTGTAGACTATCAAGTGCCATTCACGTTTTCCACAATGTGTTACTACAGCTACAATATAAATTGACGTATGTTTCACTGTTACAAATGCAATGGTTTTAAAACTGACCCATATTAAGAATGTTTTAATATTGTTAATGAGTAGAAAAGAAAATCGTTTTGAAATTGATGTTTAAATTAAAATAATATTATAAAGATTATCTCAGAAGTCAAATATATGCCTTATAATATTTTATGATTAATTTTAAATCAGTTAATAATTAACATAACATTTCGACTATATTTAATTGCTTTAATTCATATGTAATTTTTATTTTAAATCAAAATATAGAATAACAATAAAATTGACTAAGCAAAAAAATTCATTTCGATTTATGTATTTATAATTAACAAAGTGTGAAAACATTCATTTCATTTTAAAAATTTCGGCTTTCTGCACTCACAGTTAAAATATTTAAATATAATAATTTAAACAACAAATTTTACTTTTATATACATTTCAAATAATTGCTTCCAATTTGTTGTTTTAATTTTATTTAATATCTAACAATGGTCCAGTAACCCGTAGTTTCATCGCGTCTATAATAGCGTGGCCGATTATCTCTGAATACAGTAATAGCGGGAAATTGGTTCTCTTGTATAAATTTAATGGTTGCGCGCATCTGCAATATAAAAAGTACAATATGTATATTTAATATCACATTTAAAATAATTAATTAATAAATAAATTACATGCATAGCAAAGTGTGGTGGTTCCACATCAGGACTTGAGGATAAATGCTGTAAAATAAATTCATCAGTTTGTGATAGCCATAAATCTACACCACGAAGTGGATCATAATTGAATGGGCCAATACGTAGCATTCCCAAAGAAGAGTCGTATACATCAAGTACCTTCAATATATAAGACACATTTTAATATATATTTGTTTTTTTTAATATATATGGTATATATAATTTAAAATTGTATTTGATACAATTTAAAATTGTTCGGTTTCTTATATTTTTACAGAAGTCAAAGATCATGTATCTTTTAAAGAATGATATCACAATAAATACCATATATGCAAAAGTTACCACAACGCATATTATTGATTTTGTTTTATTAATTGCATTACATTTTTATAATATATGAATAATTTAGAATTTACCGTTTGTGCTCCCATAAAAATGCGTGCATCTCTTAATTGCCTATCTGGACCTCTCTCTGGGAAAGTAGCTGGAAATATTTCACCGGTATTTATATTTACACCTACGCCATAGATGATGGGGAAATTAATGTCACCGCGTACAATGGTATTTAAGTCTCCAACACAGGCCTGTGTTAAGTCAATTTCGAGGTGATGTTTGTGGAATGATTCTGTAAATTAAATTTTTTTGTTAATTCATATTAAGTTATTAAGTTATAAGAATAAAGAACTACTTAAATGAAATAAAACCTCCCAGAACTAATGTCGGTTCATGAAAGATGTTATATACCATATATCTATAAATAAGCCTGTAGCTTGGGGTAGTGTTATAATGACATTGTATGCGTGTTTGGGTTGCAATGAGTTAAAAGATTTTTACTATTAAATATAAGTGGAAATGTATAACACAATTGAAGAAGTGCTTTGATAGCAGTTGAATGTATATCACAAATCTGATGTACTATATAGAAATTGTGAAAAAAGTTTATACTACCGAAAGCAACATAAACATGCTTGATTAAATGATTGAGTATTAAGTAATGATTGAGTATTTTTACGAAGATCCAATCAAAGATCCAAATTGAATCAATTCAATCTGGAAATGCTTTTGAACTTTTCAATACCCTATTATCGAGGAACTATGTTACTCTTATGTGGGTACCGGGACAATGATGGCAATGAAATAGCAGATTCCCTAGCAAAGAGGGGTGCATGTACTCCTTTCATTGATCCAGAACCCTTTTGCGGGGTAACAAATACCTTCACAAATAACTTATTACGTGAACGGGAGAAACAAAATCTACTTGAACACTGGTGAGCCCAAACAGGCATGTGGCAGTCAAGAAGATTCACTGATCCTGAACACATCAACGTTGACGCTATCGTGAACCTTAACAGAAACGATATTGCAATCTACGCTGAACTTCTTACAGGACACTGTAGACTTAATTATCACATGAAGATTATAGGTGCAGTATAAAGTGATTCCTGTCAAATCTGTCATGAGGAGAAGGAAACATCAGAACATATCCTATGCAACTCCTGAACGGCGGCAAGGCGTAGACTTGACTACCTTGGAAGCGCGATCTTAGTCCCAAATGAAATAGGTGAAATTAAGCCAACAGCAATAACGGATTCATAAATAGTGTAGAATTGGTTTAGTTGGGCCTATAGGCGCACAAAAGATCTTTTAGGTAGGGGTGCATCCAAAGCCTATTATTTAATAATAGTAGTTTTACGAAGAAATGTAGATATATTGCTATTGAGAACTGCATAGAAGATTGTTTAATATTAGATTCACGGAACTTTGGTCACACTGAATTAGATGAACATAATTAAATTAATGTCCCTCCTGTAGGATAAAATTTTGTGGATAGGATAAAACTTAACATTATTTATTAGAGAAGACGATTGTATAGAAAGATTGCATTTTAAAGATTAGAGATCTATAACAAGTTGTAATTATTATAATCGTAGATATGATTAATTTATTATAATTATGTTTATTAAATTAAAATGTTTTGATTCAAAAGAAATTTTGCCTACTGTGGAAACATCTTGAAAGTCAAAATAAATTGTAAAAATACACGTATATCCACATATACATATATAAACATATAAAAAGATGGAATATAATTTCAATCGAGTGAGACGATTGTTCATTTGTAATTTTTTAAAGTTAAATCCAATAATTTCTTCATAATAAAATATATCATCACAGTATATTATATAGATATATTCCTTCAACTATTTTAAGATGCATAAGTTTATTTGTAATTTAGTTTCTTAAGTTTTTTGTTTTTAACTGAAAATGTTGCAGTTTCAAGTACAATAGAAAATAAAAAATATTTAATTAAAAGTATTTTTCTTTAACTTATTAAAAACACCTTTAACATAAGAGAAAATTATAAAAAGTTTCCTATTTCTGGACAAAGAAAGAAACTTAAAGTCTTAAGTTTGTATCCTTAACAAACACAAAATGAAAATGTATCATAATAAAGGACCTTTGCAGAAGGTGGTGTGCTTTGAAACTTACGCATTATGCTGTAGAAAACATCTTCACCATATGATTGTGGATCTTTGTAGCCACCAATTAATTGTAATTCAATACGTCCTTCTGGATAGCCTAAGGCAAGCTCCTGCACACGTGCAACCATTGCACACACCGCTTCATCAACCCCAGAGCCATCAAAGTGGGCTAAAGCAACTGCTCCGGATCCTGTAAAAAGGCAAAATAGTTTGGCTTAAAACATGTTCAACAATAAAAAGTAAATATATATAAAGCAGATTGTGGGTAGGTAGATAATTTCTTTTTTTATATTTATATAAATATATTATATAATTTAGTTAATATTGGTATTGCATATCTAACCTGAATGTCGCACAACAACAATAATACATGTTGTCGCATCATCAGCTCCAATTATGCTGACGTTTTTGTCATGCGGCGCAGTACCAGCCATTTCACGCTGTCCTACGTAGAGCAAACCTATGGGGCCAACTGATTTTGTTGGTATGGAGAGTAACTGTTGGGCATAATCTCTGTAAACGGGATGTTGCAGAAAAAGGCTTGTTGTGTCCATCGGACAATCATCTTGTAAGACGCCGTTCAGCACAAGAACCATTTTGTAAGAATTTATTTTCTTTTTCCAATATTATAATTTTAATCAAAATGAATTTAATTCAGCTTTGCTTTATATTTTTTAATTGCTGCAAAAATAAGAATGAACATTTTTTATTTCTTTTTATGTAACAAATTAATTTAATTAACAACTATATATAGAGTTTTTAATTAGCATTTGCTAAGTTTCACAATATGTATTTTATTTATTTAAATTATTAGTTCAAAAAGACACCTCAGGTTTGGGCAAAAATTTATTGAGTTAAAAAAATCCTTAGAATAAAATTTTGGTTTATAAATAGACATATAGTTGAATATACAAACAAACCATTATTTTTTATAATATATTTCCGATTAGTTATGTTTTAATGGTTTGTTTTGTAATATATATATTAGAATTAGAATATTAGAATTATTATATTGTATTAGAAAATAATATTTAATAATATATAATATAAATATATTGAAAATAATATTTTATATATATTCTATTAGTTAATTATTAGTCTACTTTTAATAGTTACTCTGTTACCGAGCCCCTTACTCAAGGTCGTGAACACCCCTAATATTAGATTTGATTTTTAACGTCAGTTATGACAATGCGCTAATGAACACGGACTCTAAGCTTGAAAATTGACTGGGTACAAGCTCAGCTCTCGGTGTTTGCAGTTTTAAGAATTATTTACGAATAATTAAATACCAGAAATAATTCCAAAAAGACAGAAGAGAGTATTTGGCAATACTCAAAACAGCTGTATGGTCAACCAAAAATTTATTTAACTAAAAATAATAAATTTTTTGTTGTTGTAAATCACTATTGTTCGAATTATTAATAAAATTTTTATTATGTTCCAAAATTCTGGTTTTAAAAAATAAAAAGAAAAAGGCAATGGCAAGGAATAATTCTAATTTATTTTTTACTTGTTTTTTCTTTTTATTATTATTAATTATACTTCTAGTACGACATTTGTTTAAGATATGTTATTTTTAATTAAAATCACTTAAAAGATTATTTATTTTCTATATGTAAATTAAACAAAAAACTTGTATAAAAAAATGGTAGCCACACATAATTGACTTGGATACTCCTTTGAATTGGTCCTCTTGATTCTTTATTTGTTTCTTCGAGTTGTTATTGTTGGTTTCTCTTCTCTGTTGTCTGTTGGATGTTGTATGTTGTTAATGTTGGTTCAGTCATAAATTTGTAACGTCTTCATATTAAAAATTTGTCATATTGTTTATTTTTTAACTTATCAATTCTCCTATATGAATAAGTTTAACTGCATATTGCCATATTCTGATGAGGTCCAGGCATTTTTATGTTCAGTACTTAAATGTGTCCAAAAGGTTTTTGCGAAGAGGTGTGAATATTTATGCTTAACATGGCTACGAAATGAATTTAAAATTTATTGCTTATGAGGGCGAAATTATTTGTACGTATATATATATACATATACATATATTAAACAAGGAATACAAAGAAACGTGTGTATTTTGCAATATCTTTGAGATACACAATCCAATCTCTCTTAAAAAACAGATAAAAAATATACATTATTGGAAATAAAAAATTAATCAAATAAAGTAAATCAAATTTATTTATATTCAAGACTATAGAATATGTATAATCAAAAATATACTGAACATAGATATTTTAAATTGATTAAATGATTAAGTTGATTAAGTTAACTTTTTAATCTCTGCGATACTATTGTTATAGTCTTAATTTTTATATATAATTTTATATAGAACTTAATGAGGTTTTTGGTTTATAATTACATTATGCATAAATAATAATTATATAATAATAATAGTAAATAAAAGAAAAAACGAAAATTTTAAGGAAGAAAAATAAATTTCAACTCGAAACTCTATTACCTCTATTATAAGCAGAAGATATATATTTTGCACCTGGTATATTTTTTCTATTGCTGCAGCATCTGTTATTAACTTGATTGTTTTTGTAATGTATACATAGAATAGAATAGAATAAAATAGAATAAAATATTTTATCTTCATCCTTATCAATGCTAGCCATAGGTTCTTGCCTAGTGTAATATTTTGGTATATGAGTACATTGTCATTTGTAGGTCCAATTTGTTTTACTGACAAATATATATATTTACAACAAAATAACTTATTAGATTTGCTCATACTGTAGTTTGGCCATTTTAAAAGAATTTTAGTATCTTTTTACAAAATAAACTGATCACTTCTATTGGCTAAGATCACTTCTATTAGCTTCGAATATATATTTCCTATTGAGGCTTTTAATTAACTACTTCTAATTAAATAGCTCATGGGTACAAAGTGTTAATTGATGACACTACTGAAATTGCGAAGATATACTTATATTGCTCTTCTATTTAGGAAATTTATAAGCATTCACCAAACCTCGACAAGGAGGAGTAGACAAGCGACAACATTGAACGAAATTGAACAAAATAAAGATCACAAGTCAACAATTTCTGTTTTATTAATTTAATAAAAATGTCAATTCGATAATTGACCGCCGTTAAATCGCATTACACAACGTTTTTATGATGTGGAAGCAATAATTCAATTGAGAACGACTCCGAGATGTAGTAGCAGCAAACAAATCCAACTCAATGAAACAATTTCGCAGACAGAACGGGCATGCATCCGCCAGACTATTGCACATGTGGTTATGTGAAGTTTTGCATATTGTGAGGGAAAATCGTGAGTTGCTAAAAACACGAATTACGATATTCAATTGTATGCAATTGCTGGCCAAAACACAATACCAATCAAATCAAATAAATGAAGCAGCTAACTAAATAAGTCTAAGGCCTAAATAAATAAACAATTTGAATCTAAAATCACAACTTATGCATGCAACAATTATTTTATGTTATTGATTATTAAGTTGGAAATTATAAAGCCAATGGACCAAGTAAGGAAATGACAGTAACAAAGAAATCTACAATAACAAAAAATGTATTTTTTTTTTAAATATTGTATCTCAATTAATATGCATTTCTTAAATTTATACAATTCCTTTCATTAACACTTGTGGATATCTAAAATCTCTGGCTTAGATGAGTTTGGTTTACTAAAAATTAATCATATTTGCCTATACCATCTGCCTTTATTTATTAAAATGGGAACTTCATCTATTGACCATTTACTTACCCCTGACTAAAATTTATTCAAAATTCATTCCTAAGAAGTGCTTTAAATAGGTTAAAGTCGCACTTTAAAGTCTCAGGTTTTAGATGTATTTAACTACTGAGAGAGAAAAGGCCTAATACAGTTCAATTAAATAATTCTCTTAATCCTGACAAAAGTAAATAAATTGATGAATTCAAATTAAGTTAAAGTTCAATTTGGTTGATATCGAAGTATACGCAGAATAACAGAATTGATTAGCAGAGGAGAATCAAAAATAAACTACTTAACTATTTTATGCACGTTTGGCTTGCGGCATTTGCATTCGTAATAAAAAGCATATAAGAATGCAATTGCATGCTTTTTCACTCGACCGACAGTAAGACGAGTACGAGTTCTTCTATCATCAGAAGCTTTTGGCAAAGTTGTAAAAAATAAACAAGTTATACACCTGAAGATACAAAGTACAGAATGCAGAAAGGCACAGCAGGCTGCAGAATCCAAGTTTCATGCCAAATGAATTCATATTCCACTCTCCGACTTTGACTTTGTGTCTGATTCAAGAGTAGGTGCAATTTTAAAAGCATACGGCAATGTGGAATTATTTGGACTTGGTGAATTATTGGGCAAATAATAACTGTATACAAAACATGATGACGTACATGATTATCTAGAAGTAATCAGCATTATTTAAAACTATAATGACATACTATATAGATTAAAATAGTAAACATACATTATTTATAAAATATATAATTATGATTTCTCACCTATTTCGAATTTGGTTCAAAAAAAAAAAATACATTGTAAAGGCATCAACCTAATGCAAGTTTCGTTTATTGAAGTGCACTGTGTAACCAAGCAAAATTTGAATTATATTATATTTGAAAATCTATTAACACCATTTATTAACGTAATAAAGTCTAGATATTGAATATGTTACAAAATGGGCTTACTTACTTGTGGATATCTGTTGTTTTACTATGTCCAGACTTAATCAGATCTAGACTTAAGCATTATTTAACTCACCCACATCGAAATCAATCAAACACTAGAGATCATGCCTTAAATTAGCTGATCGTAAAACGCATTATTTAACTCACCCACATCGAAATCAGTCAAAAACTAGAGGTCATGCCTTAAATTAGCTGATCGTAAAACGTCTAATCCTCTAAGAAAAATTACAAGAATTGTGGCATAAAAAAAAAAGAGTAAAGCACCTAATCACGGAGGAGTTCAACTTGTTCTACTCCACCGAACTACCTAGTTGTAGATATATTTTTATATGTTTTATTTAAAAAAATAACGAGATACTACATAATTGAAGCGAAATATTAAGTAGCAGATTAATTCCACACCTACTGCATTCGAATTACTCTATTAATTAGATAACACATCACTATATAAACCTTCACGCTTATGCATGAATGTAATATGCAAAAGCCAAAGTGCTAGTTAACTGCAATAAAAACATGGCAATATGAAATATAGTAAAATATACAAAAGTGCTCGCTTCATTAAAAAAAGACGTATAATCTTACATTATATTATGAGAAAAAAATTGTTTATAAACATTTTCAATGTTTAAATAAATAGAAAGAACAGTAGTTTTTCTAATTTTTTTTCCACATTTAGTATATTTTTATTTTCTATTTTTATTTTTGATGCATTATCATGCTCCTGACTAAATTAAAATTAGTAGAATATTTTCAATATATGATTTATATAATTTGTTAAATAATCTTAGGGATTTATTCTCTGTTTTTCTGACTTCTCTGTTATTTTTTTGCGTGTACTTTTTAAATGCTGTTATTGTTCTTTTTGTGTGAAGTGTACTTTACTTAGGTTAGGTTAAGTTATACCGCCGATTCCTATTGGATTCACTTAGGCCTATTGACCCATTGTGTTACCGTATATATAGGAAAAAAAACTCATGGTTTAAAACCTTAAACCTTTGGCG